AGCTTCTTCAATTTCAAGGATCCTGAAATCATCTGATATAATTTTGGCCAGCTGATTGTGAAGTTACTAACATCAACCACCTCGAGATTATCGATATTCTCACCAATGTCAAGATGTATCACGCTAACGTCATCAATCTTAAAATATTTCAGAGTACCTTTCCCAATCAGTTCAAAAAGTTCAAGGGCACAATCCCTCAAGTGCAAGCTCTCGACACTATCCGCCTCCAGCATAAATTTATCCAAACTAATCGCTTCAACATAAATACTCTTTAATGTAGGGCTGCTCAATTCCACTGTCACTTGAGCATCTGACATCCATATCTCTGGACTAACAAGTTCTAAGTTCTCGAGCTTCGGACATGCAGTGAGCAAAAGACTCAAATCCAATGCTGAAATACTAACATGACTCAGAGAGAGGGACTTTAAACAAGGAAATCTCTGAAAATTAGGTTCAACCCCTGTTATTGAATTGTGGGCTAGTGCCAAAGTTTCCAGCTTTTGCCTCCCACAAATTTCAAGGATGTTAACATTTGGACTAGTTCGAACATTGTAAAACAACCGGCGTAAGGTTTCCCTGGTATACATAAGCCAAGCAATTACAGTTGAATCTGGGAACTCATCAACATCATCTATCAAAACCGATAGGCCTTGCAATCCGGTAGTTTGGAATATTGTTTGAGTAATCAGGATCTCTAATTGTCTAGGTGTAACGTCACGATAAGGAGGAAAATCACTAGAGTTAAATGCTAGGGTGTGAAGGTGTTTCCGACAAGCTTCTCGCCATTTTTTACATGTTGTAGAGGCTATAACCACATCCCGGGCACCTCCAAGACGAGACAAAATGTTTCCAATAACTTCAACCGGTAGCTGCTCCATTGCTTTGCCACAAAAGATCAGAAGCCTCAAATCCACAAATTGGGTTTTCTGAAGATACTCGAGTAGATACAAGCAAACACAAATTCTTCAAAACTCAACAAATAAAATTGACATAGGTTGAAATCATTGCCCAAGTATTCTTTCCCAGGAGGGAGAAAAGTCCTGCGTTTAAGCAGACACGAAACGTCACAAAAACATTATCTTTATTTATATCTTCAAACAAATTTCACATACAAATAAAGCAAACTTAAGCGTATAATAGGGGGTTCAAAGGGAAATTTAAGTAACATAATCTCAATGTATTCCAAATAAATAAAGATCTAATATCTTCAAGCAAAGGATCAAATTCAAAATAAAGTACTGGGTTGTTAAAACGTGAGCTTTTAGGGTCTAGTATCAATTCAACAACTCAGAAAATAGAATAATCCCAGAATTGACAGTACATATAAATCCAATTAGCATTTCGGCATTTGCTAAATATCTCAAATTTCACATCAAATGAAAAATAAACGAAAAAGAAAAATAAAACTTACCCGAAATCAGAGAAAAAGATTTGAAGTGAGTGATGAACTGCAGACAAGCTCTGTTGACGAGTTGGATTCGAGGTTTCCTTATTCTTTTCGATTGGTTTTTCTTTTCTATTTCTTTAATGAAATTATTTGAAGGATAGGCACTAGACAACGCTCGTTACTTTTCCACCTCTCTGGTTAAGCAAATTCCAATTTTTGGCTGCCTGCCTCCGCGGCTATGCGTGTTCCCTTCCACATCCAAACCAGTGGGCTCCATAATAGTTCTTGACTAACCGAAACGAACTACTCGATATTTGATTCGAAAAATTTGTGAACTACTAAAAAAATGTTATATTATAATTTTAGATGTTTTTAAAATTATATTATTAAAAATATATTAAAAATACATTATTAATAATTATAAAATTTTATAATAAACCCTAAACATAATATTTCAAGAACTATATTGATTAATTAATATCAAGTTGTGAGCAACATTTAATATCAATATATTATATTGTACTTACCTTGTTAATTAGTATCAAGTCGATTAATTAATGTATTTGTAATGAACCCTAAATTCTAATCCCTAAGTCCTAAACCCTTAATCCGATTATGTGATAGGGATTAAGTTATGCACATTAAGATAACATACAAATTATGCAAAATGATGTTATGTGACTCCTAAATAAATCATTCGCATACTTATACATAAACATATCAACATGCAAAATAAATATACACAACTTGTTGATTGATACATGATTTTATCATATCTCAATGATGACTATCGACACCGTCATTGATTTCAAACACTGACTCACTAGCATAATATTTCAAGAACTGACTTACCAACATCATATTTGAAGAACTAAATTTAGTGATTTGTTTGCAATTTTTTATTCTTGTGGCAAAATTTAAAAGTATATATAATTAAATGATGAAATGTGTAATTTATCCAAAAGTTAACCGATTGAATGATTTATCATTATGTTAAATAATGCCATAATGAATTAGTTACTTGTGGTGAATGGCATCCACGATGCCTCCAGAATTAGCTTCCTTATATATAATAATACAATAATACGACCATAATATATGAAATATATAATTCACTTTTTATTTTTCTAATAAATCTAAAATAAATAAAAGATAATATTATTTAAAGACGTCTAATTATTTGATAATAAATATTTATATTTTTCATATATATATTATTTAAATTCAAAACTTCAATAAAAACAATAGATTCTTTAATCAATTAATAATTTAATTCGTATTCGATTATCGTTTAACCTATCTATACAGAAAATTAATATGACGTATGTTTTTCTATTCTCAGTTGACAGTTGTACTTGTGTCGTAGTGTGTGCAGTTTCCTTTTAAAGACAAGCCAACCAGATGTAACAAAACTCAGTCCCACTTGTCTGTTTTCGTCTCTCACTTAAAAGCCAGTTAACTCTGTTCATGTTTTGTTTAAAACTCTAAAAGCAAATCGGGGTTTGCGGGTGAAGCCATTTGAAGCGAAAGGTTAGGAATTTGGAACTCAGAACTCAGAACACAGGACAGAAAAAAAAAGACAGTAAACACGCCTCTCACCGTCGGCATTAGGCGTCACCGACAGCCATCTACCACCGTTTTTATCCCGGTCGACAGCCTAATCCTAAAAACTAAACAACCACCCCCATTTAGAGAGTTCTCAAACTCTCCCCTTTTTTCTCCTGGTCGAGAGCCCCTCCACAGGACCAAACAGACGTCGGACACCATCCCCCAATGTTTCTGCATTGTCTCCTCGGTTGTGGACTATGAAGAAAAGCATTGTTCCAACACGGAAATCGAATGCAATTCCTAGTCCTGGGACTCCCAATCATCATCACCAATTGAGTTCTGGAATGCAGAAGGGTTGGAGTTTTTGAACGTGTGGCATTGCATAAACAATGGTGCAAGGAGACAAGCGAATGCTGCTGGGGTGTTACCTCTGAACAATGGAAAGACCTTGCCTTTAAAGTGGGAAGATGCTGAGAGGTGGATTTTCAGTCCTGTTTCTGGGGATGCATGTGTGAGGAAATCGAACTTGCATCTACAAAGAAGACCAAAATCAAAGAGTGGTCCACTTGGTTCTCCTGGGATTGCTTACCATTCTTTGTACTCTTCTCCAACTCACATGTCACATGTTTGATGGAGGCCGTAAAGGAAGTTTTATGGCTGTTTCTCCTTTCTCATATGGTGTAATTGCAGCTAATGGTTTGACAATTCATACCCGTAGGCCTGCTGGAGGATTCGCTATTCAGACTCAGCCTTGTATGGCCCGTTCTGTCAGTGCCTTTTGGATTCCAGTCATTCAAATGAAAATTAGTTGGTATACCACATCGGTGGTTCTTGGGGGAATAAGGGGTAAAGTGGGTGTATAAAAGGGGATGGGCTTCAATTGAGCTCGAGTTTCGAACTTTAATCGAGCTCCTGATTTTTTTTTTGAATTCGAGTCTTTTCGAGTTCGAGTCGAGTTTTAATATTATCTTTCGAGTTCGAGTCGAGCTTGAAAATTTTAGGCTCGCGAGTTTCGACTCGAATCGAGCTTACATTTAAAGTTTTCGAGTTCGAGTAGAGCTCGGCGATACTCAAGCTCGACTCGACTCGTTTACACCCTTAGTCATGTCTCTTCTTCGTTTCATGAATTATTTTATTTTATTTTCATTTGCCTAATAATGAATAATTGTTTTATACTAATATTTTTTCGTAAATATACATATATGTATATATATATATATCATTCGATGAACTATAAGAATGATCATTTATATTTGTACATTTTTACTCATTAAATTCATAAAATTTAAATTTTAATCATTTATGTTATCATATATTAAGTTTTGATTATTGAAACGTTAAATGTACTTTTATGTTTTTTCATCTTGCCTACACCCCAGCTTCCACCTTGCATTGCACACTTTGTCCCTGGCGACGATCACAGGTCAAACTTTAAATTTCATTGATGAACAATGAATCAAACTTCTCTGATTTCATTTACAACTTTCAAGATTAATGCTCGAACTTTTTTTTCCACCAACCTTCGTATTTTCCAAAGGATCCCAGTAGGAAGATATAAGAAAATGTCAAATTTATTAAAATTCTTGAATTTAACATTATTTCTCCTAAAACAACTACCTGGCATGCTTACGAAACTCAATAGCATATCGAGATTGAAAAACACAGCCCTATGTAACAGTAAATTAAAAACCATAAAAATCCTACCCTTCTTGTCGTTGATCAAACACGATGCAAATAAAGTCATCTCATTGATTTTATTAAAAAAATTAGCTCAAGTCTTTAACATCCAGAATCCGCCCCATTCTCTTATGACTTTAAAAAGTAAAAATAAAGTTTTTAAAATTAGTAAAATAATTTTTTTAAGGATTCAATGATCAAAATATAATAATAAATAATTAAAATTTAATAAATTGTAATATAAATGAACGAAACATAATTTTTAAATATAATAAATAAAAATATACGAATATAAAAGAGAAGTGATTAATCCGACGATTCATCCTTAAATCTAAGAATTATAGTTTTGGTTTAGACTTTAGATCCAAACCCGAACCAAGGCTAGACCCGACCCTGGCCCAATGTCATCGCCCGCTAGGGTTTTATTATCGCCATTTTCCCTATTTATTTTCCAGTATCCACAGAGAATCAGCTTCTCTATTCTCTGGTAGTTACTCTCTCCTCTTTCTCGATAAACCTTCCATAGCTGTAGCTTTCCATTCATTCCTCAGATCTAACATTAATCCCTACATTCTTCTTTGCTTGTTGATGACTTCAAACTTTGTTTTACAGGTTAAATTTTTGTAGCTTTGTTCCCCGAAGGAAAGGAGTTTCAGAGATGAGGTAAATTTAGTTTTTCATTCTTTGTACATCATTTTATCAATCGGGAATTTTTTTCTATGATTTTTCATCTTTTTACATATATTCTGAGGCTAAATATCCAACTTTACAAATTGGGTCCTGGAAATTTCGATTTTTTTATCTCTTGTTTAATTTATATTCTATGCCCTTAATCTTGCTATTGTTATAGGGTAATTTGTTGGTTCATTTCCACTATGAAACAGGAAATGTCTTTGTTCTTAGGTGTAATTAGTATATTCTTTGTGGGCTCTCGATTTTTTTAGCTCGTTGATTAGACTGGTTTTGCGATGATTGGTTTCTTTAATGATGGAAAATTGTACTTCTTACTCTCTATTTTTAGGTACTTCTTACTCTATTTTTAGGTTTTGTATTTGAACTCTGTAAATTTTTAGGTTTCGAGTGCATGTATTGACCTGATTTATGTACCATTTTGGTTGTTCATTTTATGACTCACGTTGTGGTTTGTTCTTTTCTTTCCTTGAAATATTTTTTATTTTACTATTTGCAGTAAGCTTCAGAGTGATGCCCTTAGAGAAGCTATTTCAACCATTGTGGCTCAGTCGAAGGAGAAACAACGGAAGTTTATTGAAACCATTGAACTCCAGATTGGGTTGAAAAACTATGATCCCCAGAAAGACAAGCGTTTCAGTGGTTCTGTGAAGCTGCCACACATTCCTCGCCCGAAGATGAAGATCTGCATGCTTGGAGATGCTCAACATGTTGAAGAGGTAAATTTGCTGCTTTCTTAAATCAAACTTTGTTTACTTATAGTACATAGGTGTCCCCATATGTTTCTCCTTAGAAATAGACGACAAATGTGCCTTAAATCCTTCCAGGTGAGGTGCATTTTAATAGGTTCATGGTGCGTGAGCCTAGGCACACATGTTTTTAAGGTGAAACAAATAAAAAGGCTGGGTTGATTGGAATTTCCTTTAGTTTCTTTGTTTTTAACTTTTTCATTAAATGTATCTTTACTAGTAAGAAGGGGGTAGTATTGAACTCTCTTCTTTCTCAATTGTTGCATATTCAATAATAATCATGGAACCATAAGAAAATCATGTATATTGCTGATAAAAATAAAGTTGCATCTTTCATAGATAAATTGGATCACTCTTAGAATTTATTGGTACATAGCTTATTTTATATACTTGTACACATATATTGTGCCTTGATTCACTCAGGTGTGAACTCCTTTTATGCCTTGTATCTGAGGCAACTGTGTAACTCTTCTAGCTCCTGAAGTTCCCCTTGCACCCGTTACAACACTGCTTTTAACCTTTCAATGGCCATTTGTGCAATGAGTTTTTTTAATGGTTTAATTTGTACTGCAGGCTGAGAAGATAGGTTTGGATTATATGGATGTTGAAGCACTGAAGAAGCTAAACAAGAATAAGAAGTTGGTGAAAAAGCTTGCCAAGAAGTATCATGCCTTTTTGGCTTCTGAATCAGTCATCAAGCAGATTCCTCGTCTCTTGGGTCCTGGTCTCAACAAAGCAGGCAAGTGTTCCATGTCTGTATTGCATCTTTTTTCATCAATTTTTACTTTGTTGGGAGACTAACTACATTGTTTTTCATTTGTGATTCTAAATCATGATCTTGTGGTTTTTTGTGCACAAATGCAGGGAAATTCCCGACCCTCGTTACTCACCAGGAATCCCTTGAGTCCAAAGTGAATGAGACCAAGGCAATGGTGAAGTTCCAGTTGAAGAAGGTTCTTTGCATGGGAGTGGCTGTAGGGAATGTAGCAATGGAGGAGAAGCAGATCTTCCAGAATGTGCAAATGAGTGTGAATTTCCTTGTTTCATTATTGAAGAAAAACTGGCAAAATGTGAGTTTTCTCAGCTTCTATTTCTTTAGGTTGCTTGGGTACTCCTTCCACATAATTTATTTCTTCCTTGATGGTTTGCATACAGGATTCTGGGGTCCTCAATTTTTTTTTATTGAGGAATGTTCTAGTATATGTTAATTTTTTCCTTGTTATATATATATATATATATATATATAGCATGGCAGTTTGCTGTATTTTCCATATACAGGCCTTTATTTTAACTCTTCATTTGGATCCTAATCTAACCTTGAGCCTTGTAATCCTTTACTTAAGCTCACTGAAGACATGGTGCTATTAAATCCTCTCGAACCGCATAAGTGTATACAAAATGCATGTCATTTGATTTAACACTCAATTGGATTTTTTTTTTGCATAAATCTGATTGAATTTGTGTTGATTGGCAGGTGAGATGCCTCTACTTGAAAAGTACCATGGGCCCTTCAAACAGGATATTTTGAGTAGGTACTTGTTTTTAAGACTTGTGAGTGATAAGTAGGTGTGGGGATTAACTAAATCAGATTTTTTCCCAGGAAGTTAAAATTTTATGTTGGAATCTGTGGACTAATGAAGTTTTGTTATGGCTATCGATCGAGTTTTCATTGAATGTTACCCTTCCCCATCTTTTCTGACTCCTTCCTGGATTGGCACATGCCTCTGGTAGAGTTGTCTTCCAGTAAATAGTGACTTGTAGTTTCTGTTTAAGCTGGTACAATGGGTGTATCAGATGGCAATCACAACTAATAAGCTTTAAAAATATAAATTTTGAAGGTTGTTAGAAATCCTTTGGTAAGAGTAACTTCATCAGCAGAAAAGTATTCTGAAATGACGATATTCACCCTCGTAACCAACACCTTGGACCATGGACTACATTGTAAGCAACACTGCCTATACCAAGGGGATGAATGTTATACACGTGTTTTAAAAGAACTGAATGTTTAAATAAATTAGGTAAACTACACCAATGGTTACTAAACTTTGAGTTTCCATTTTTCCCGTTGAACTTTCAAAAATTATAAATTGGTCATTAATGTTATCTATTATAATAAAATGATCACTTGACGTTAACAATTGGTGATGTCAAGCTGAGATGAACCGTTAAACGCTTAATTAAGCAGTTGGGTGCCATGCTAGAGGGCCCATTTGACTACTGTTGACCGACTCTTCAACTAATTACAACGTCAAAGCTCCACCCACTAGCAGCTTGGCCATCGCCACTTTCACCTCTCTCACTCTTCTGCTGTTTGCTCACACTCCTCATCGGCTTCTCTTCATGTGAGCAGCTTCCTATTACCGGTCACGGCGGCCTCACGAAACAAGAAGTTGTCCGGATATCTTCAAATAATATTCTCTTAACAAATACTGTCGAGTTTGGCGGATGATGTTATTCCGTTGTTTTTGTTAACTTGTTTTGGCTTATTTTCAGATTCATCAACCCAAATACTTGGTCTTGGAGTAGAAAAAAAACTATGGCCAAATTGCAAACAATCTTCCATCTCCATCTCGAGTCGCCTTCTTTGTAGTGCCGATCCCAACATTCTCGTTGCCTTCTCCGATACAAACGTCGATTTCATTACCGGACTTGGCAACAAGTATCGTCTGAATATGACTGATCCTATCAAAGCTCGAAACTGGGTTCAGCAGTGAGTTCAGCCCCACCTTCCTCGGACTCAGATTACTTGCATTACTATAGGGAACGAAAATTTCAAAACCTCTGATCATCAGCTCTGCTCTAATGTTATGAACACAAGAGGAAGAAAAGTGCTGGACCGGTATTGAAATAGGAAGAAATCTCCATTTGCAATCAGAAATTAGAGAGAAAAGTAGCAGAAAGAGTTGAGAATGATATTAATTCAGCTTAACAGCTGATTCATTTCCCTTTTGTTGCTAATATTATCTCCAACAATGCGAGTAACTACACGTAGTCACGCAAGGCTGTAACATCTAATCTTCTCCCAGCAATGCAACAATGCTCTTGTTGAACTCAGCCTTGACAAACAAGTAACTGTGCATTACCTTGATATCTTAATTGGATAGTGGATCCAATTACCAATTTGAAATATGTTTTATGCTCAACTTGATTAGCTATCAAAGCAATGAGACATACCACTATCGACGTCCGGGTTTCAAAACCAACTGGCATTCCCGAGGTGACGAGAATGAAGCAGGAGCTACACCAGAGAATGCACAATGGCAACCTGTTGAAAAGTGTACAAGAGAAACGAGGCACACGGATGAAACCCAATATACCGATGGACGTATACATTTTCACACTCTTTAGTGGGAATTTAAAACCCGATCCCGCATCAAAGAAGAACTATGGTCTCTGTTATCGTAAGGGGAGTTTGGTTAATGAAATGTAAGATTATCTCAATCAAGGGATAGTGGATCCAATTACCAATTTGAAATACGATAACATGTATGCTCAACTTGATGCTATTCATTCAGCTATCAAAGCAATGACACATGCCACTATCGAAGTCCGGGTTTCAAAAACTAACTGCATTCCCGAGGTGACGAGAATGAAGGAGCTACACCAGAGAATGGCAACCTGTTGAAAAGTGTACAAGAGAAACGAGGCACACGGAATTTAAAACCTAAGAGAGGAACTATGGTCTCTATTACTTTAACGGGGGTTTGATTTACGAAATATAATATTATCTTTGAGAATAAGATTACTGTAATCTAACATTACTCTGCGAATGTTGTATTACCTTAACAATAATATATGATTACGGTGTTTGATTGAAGGAATATAAGATTAATTGAATGCATATTTTACTAAATTATCCTTGTGATATATATATATATATATATATATATTAACAAGTTAAACTTTAATATTAAATTACAAATATTTGAATAAAAATTCATAAAAATATTTTAATTGTTACATTATCTAACTTTTGAAAAAAAAAATTAACATAGTTAGTATATCAAAATTGTATTCTTAAATAATTTTCATAAGTATCTTATTTGTTTATATATAATATAATTTTAAAACATAATATATTATCTCGAACAAACAAAGATATTATTTTCCAATTTTAAGATCCATTTTTAATAGCTAAAAGTTAAAAATAATTACATTTGTTCACATCATAAAATTATAAATAATTAATATATCAAATATTAAAAATATAAATTAATTTTAACCTCTCACATTTATTAATATTTTATTAAATCAAAATATTTATATATTATTATTATGTTTAGAATTTTAAGTAAAACACAAACAATAAAAACTTATAAGGATCCATATAAAAAAATTCATTATTCTAAGAATATTTTTGTCTAAAATGGAGGTAATTGTCTAATAATTAAGAATTTAAAGGTAATAACATTCACACTATTTTAATAAAAAAATACTACTATTGATAATAAAATATTATTAACTGATATTTTTTTTTCCGTGAACTAAACATGAAAATACAATTTCGAAAAAGATTGTCTCTTGATAATAATCTTTTCCGCGAACTAAACGCCTGTAACTGTATCCCGAATTATGACATAGGACTTGAAGGTCATCTTCCAGGGATGTATATTCATCGCCTAGCACAAAGATTGCAAGTAAAACACTCTTTATATCCTTATATCTCTAGAAATCTATAGTTTTCTCAAGAACTCAATCAAGTTATTCACTATGATTTGAATATTTTTTGGCAAGCATAATCTATAGCTACAAGCAGCTGGGTTTTGCATTGGGAATTAGGAAAGAACCTAATAGAAAGTAACATGGTTTCCACCAAAAACAAGGTGGAAAGAATTCTCACAAAAAATGTTCTTCTCCCTGTATTTCTTTCACAAAATAATGTTGCTTATCCTCTTTTCTCTGTATTCAGGGAAAAAAAAAGTCCTAGTTCTTGTTGCTGATGAAAATGGGATCTTAAATTTGAGTTTGGTTCCTCGAAGCCCAACACTTTTGTTCTCATGTGATTGATATTTCTATTTTCACCAATGAATTTCAATATTCCCCTTTTATTCTTCAGAAACCTTGAAGAAAGTATAGGATAAGATAATGTTGTTTATACCATCCATTCGGGCATCTGTTTCAAACTCGGGATCTAGGTAGAAGAAAACCTGCAAAAAAATAAGCCAAGTTAATAAAGATCACAATTGATTTTTTCCCTTACAACAGTAAACATTCACTCTTTATTTTCTTACAGGCATGTCAATCTGCTCTCCAGGGAGAAGACGCTGCTCCTCAAAGCAAAAACACTGTATTTTATTGAAATAAACTGCAGCCTGGAAAGGGGACAAAGAAGTGCAAGAAACAAAGTCAAAATTCTAAGGCTCGCCTTAATAATAAATCTTACCAGTAAGTTAATCTGTTTCAACATAACCAATTTTTCACCACAAAGATTTCCTTCCCTTTCCTAAATACGCTCATTATAGTGTTTCTTTCATCGGGCGATTTACAAAAATGTATAATCAAACCATGTAAAACAGCCAAATAGAGGATAATAAAGGAAACCAATTGTTACTAAAAGCATATGAAATTGATTGCATGGCTCTGAATTGAACTTTAATCTGCATCAGGGGCTATCTCTCAACACTGGAATTTTGACTAGCTAGTGGAGATTTTAGGCCTACCTTACGTAAGTAGGAAGCACAATATTTCTTTTTTCTTGCAAAAGATGTCAACCTAATTTTTTCCCACTATGAAATGGGATCATCCAATCAAAGCAACTAACCTAACATTTGACTCCAATCAACACAAGAATTTAATCACAAACTTGAAGATAAAATAGTAAAGAATATTTCGATTATGATTGTAACACAGACCAGTCCTGGACCAGGATAAAAACAATGTTGCACATTCTCCTATTGTGACACCTAGAGGCCCCAAAAGCAAAATTATAACCATAAAAGAAAGAAACAGTCAAACATACTTGATAGGAGGTTAGACATAAATTAAGCGCAGATTCCACTAAAATATTTAGGAAATAAATTTAGACATAGAGAGAGGGCGGGAGAACGGAAGGGATTATACTTGTGTCACAAGATCTACTTGTGCAAAAGAGGATAAAGGAATAGCAGAGCTCGTCAGACAAAATTTTCAATCCAAACTAGAAAATAGTAAAAAGGAAGCAACAAAGCTTAAATTATTTGAACAATAATAATATCAAAGGAAGACTGAAAAAGTAAGTATATGGTCAAGCCTAAATAACACTAAGTGAATCAAAGCTAGCAAGAAATAGTTAAAAATCCTAGAAGCTTATAAGCAAGTAATGCATGAGAGATCAACAAAGATCTAAACAAATGCCAATAACTTAAATTTAGAAGTAATAAATAAATCATTGGCCCAATTTTCATTAGATCATATGCACCAATACCTTCATGGGGGTGACATTATATGTAGAGACTCCAGTTATGGGTTTCAAACTTCGATTTTCAGCAGTATAAAAAGCAAGGGCACTTTCTCCAGGCTTGACTCTCACCTAGAAGAAAAACAAAATGATGAAATAATTGAAAAATGAAAGCACTTAACAATGCCCAAAATCGACATAAAAATGTTAAGAACCTCTCTTTGTGTAGGAACAAATTTCCAGGGCATTCCATCTGCCACATCAGCATTGAACTGGACTACTATCTCCCTGCAAGAAT